GACTCCTAATTCCATCTGAAAAGAATGCTAGTCTCGTACTTCAGCTGTACTACCATTAAGATCGCTGTGTAACTCGTAAATACGTGCAGACGTTAAGAGTAAAGCATACGTTCACACGTTAATTCAGAGCTAGACCTTACCCTACCGACTGCACCAGGCGCCGTTGTACGCGGTGCAGATCGACAGCCAACGAACAATCCAGTGAATCCCGGTAGTAATCATATATTCGCGCGCAGTCGGCGCGACAAGCCTGAAAAGCGTTATATTCTCGGTCCATCGTGAGATACTCAGGCAGTGAGCGATGTCGTATTATAATAAGACCTTCTCGAGTGACCGCTCGGCGCTGATTAGCGAGATCTTTCCGCCTGTGTGCACACGGCACAATTTACTCGTATTTCCATCGCGATTAGCATCGCGGTTTTGTCGTGACTGTATTTTTGCTCGACTGTGAGACGTGCCTCGTGCTAAAGTTGTGCGCCATTACCTGGATTAGTGCCATCCTTGGTTGAGCACTCTATACCGTGGTTATTGTCTCTGGGGCCGTTCGTGTAAAGTTTGTAATGTAAGGAAAGCGGGTGCCTCGACTCGAGAATACTATACACAGACATCATGCTGTGGGTTTTGGCCTTGTTAAGCGTTTTCTAAGTTCCGCCATCGTTAGCAAGAGTTAACAGTAGCGCGGGCTGCTCAAGAGAAAATCTGCCTTCAGCATGTGTGGCTTCAACCCTAATAATGTCGTGCCTTGTACCATGTTAGCAGCTACTGACTCTTGGTCTACGACTGAACACGCAATATGTAACCACAACATTTCCTTCCATTCATTCCACATAAGACCGAATCCACACAACATATCACTGCATGGCAAGTAGATTGATACTGGAGGCCGCCCGTTGTACATACTCCAAAGATTCCATATGCTTTCCTCGCCGTGTTTTTGCTTTGAAAACCAACCCGTACATGCTCGTGCTCTTTTATATTACCGGTCACGTTTGTTATTGGCCACACATCACCCTACTAACCCATAGTTTCATTACCTGATCTATTGGCTCAGTAGGTGAGCACGTTTTAAGGCGACTTACTCCCGGGTATTTTGCCGCGCTGTGCAGAATGCAGAAATCCTGCAGGAGCAACCCTAGTCTCCCCATGCATCTCTCGCAATCAAGCCGCACGTGCGAGTTCTGAACCTGTTGCTGCAGCTCTAGCGACAGATCTCCATCGCATGTCCGACCCTCGCGCAGGACGGCGAATATCGCTCTGCAAATACACGCGGGCGGCTCGATTTCGGCGTCTAGCTTGGCCCATACGGTCTGATGTGTAACCGTCAGCGGTCCATAAATTGGTGTGTTTTCGATGGCCTGGCAGAACGGGTAGCTGGGCATACTCGGACGCAGCCTCATGCGACCCTTACAGACGTGATTTGGTATCACGTATCTGGTGCTCGTCGTCGCGAAGTATGGATGTATGGCGGATACGGAGTGGCAGGCTGTATGATCGTCCTGTGAAAACGACGAGAACCACCCTCGTACGTGCGGCCCACACTCGTTATCTCGCGCGCTGTCGTAAGTCCTTTAGGCTCTCACATTTACAGCGCTCTCTGCAAGTACTGTACTTTGCAGTGGTCTGTCTACCTTGTCTCATGTGTGCCGGGTAAAAAAATACCGGGAGCCGAGTGCGACGTTTTAATTCGCTCTGCCAAACCTCCGAATCGCTCCCGCAAAACAACTCTAGAGCCGAAAAATCCAATTTGACAAAAAATCGGCTCTCGGTAGCGGGGCTCTGGCGATGTGCGAGTTGAAACATGTCGAGCTGCGCCTGAAAAACCTGCGTCGCACGCCATCCATGCCAACTGAACCACTCCCGGTGCAGAAATTCTCAACTAGGGGCGTAGCGTACCTCCGGGGCGTAGTACGCATAGCACTAGGCGACGCAAGTTGCCTAGCTTGTCAGGGCGTAGCTACGTCGCAGATACGCAGTTGCGTAACGATCGATTTCTCCACCAAGCTTTTTTTTTATTGGAAAAAGAGAGAGGAGAGCGCAAGAGAGAGAAGAGAGAGAGAGAGAGAGAGAGAGGGAGAGGGAGGGGAGAGAGAGCGAGAGAGCGAGCGAGCGAGAGAGAGAGAGAGAGAGAGAGAGAGAGGAGAGAGAGAGAGAGAGCGAGCGAGAGCGAGAGAGAGCGAGAGAGAGAGAGAGAGAGCGAGCGAGCGGAGAGCGATGAGCGCGCGAGAGGAGAGAGAGAGAGAGAGAGAGAGCGAGAGAGAAGAGCGACCGCAAGCACGCGAAGCAAGACGACGCGAGAGCGAGAGAGAGCGAGAGAGAGAGCGAGAGAAGAGAGAGAGAGAGGAGGAGATGAGAGAGAGAGCCAGCAGAGAGAGCGGAGAGGAGAGAGAGACGAGAGAGACTGGAGAGAGAGAGAGAGAGAGAGAGAGGAGAGACGAAGAGAGAGAGGAGAGAGAGAGAGAGATGGAGCAGAAGAGAACGCGCGAGAGAGAGAGAGAGAGAAGAGAGAGAGAGAGAGAGAGAGAGAGCGAGAAGCGAGAGACGAGAGAGAGAGAGAGAGAGAGAGAGCTGAGAGCGTAGTCCAGTCAGTGACTGGATTCATGGATGTGCCAAAAGCCCGCATTTTGCCCATTGTTTTGACATAAAATTCAGAAGGAGGCATGCCCCCCTGGACGCCCTATGTCACTCAGACCATGTGGCGCGCCGTAGTGCGTACAACATCCCTTTCTAACTACATAGCTTTACGCCCTGACTGTAACATGAGCAGCAAGTATTTTTTGGCTCTGGTTTCGGAACAACGTGCCCTCAGGACTTGTGCAAACATGGAGAGATTCTTGCAGCGAGGGGTCAACTCGTGGCGACTCGGAATGAGTGAAATATAGGCAATTCAAATAACTCTCGTGAGTGGCCAAATATACTCCGGTAAAAATTTTATGACGCGAGCTATTTATCACCCAGAACTTGCAAAATAAGCTCCCGTAAAAAGTTTTTAGATTGGTCCATTGTCCACTGTGTAAAAACTATGTTCCGTGTCTATGAGCAGCCAAGCATCACTAAATGTAGTAACAGTGCCGTAAACCGGACATTTAAGGAGCGAATATGGCTAAGCTAACCCCATACTAGAGTAACTGATGCTTGTATCGCTATAATATATAATATATATCTTACAGCGGGATACCTCGGTGTTGGCCGGAAATACCGAATGTAGGTATGGTTGTGTGTGTAAATACTGACCATAGATATGGTTGTGTGTGTAAATACTGACTGTAGGTATGGTTGTGTGTATAAATACTGACTGTAGGTATGGTTGTGTGTGTAAATACTGACTGTAGGTATGGTTGTGTGTATAAATACTGATCGTAGGTATGGTTGTGTGTGTAAATACTGATCGTAGGTATGGTTGTGTGTGTAAATACTGACTGTAGGTATGGTTGTGTGTATAAATACTGACTGTAGGTATGGTCGTGTGTGTAAATACTGACATTTACACACACAACCATACCTATTCAGTATTTATACACACAACCATACCTACAGTCAGGATTTACACACACACAACCATACCTACAGTCAGGTGTAAATACTGACTGTAGGTATGGTCGTGTGTGTAAATACTGACTGTAGGTATGGTTGTGTGTATAAATACTGACTATAGGTATGGTCGTGTGTGTAAATACTGACTGTAGGTATGGTTGTGTGTGTAAATACTGAATGTAGGTATGGTTGTGTGTGTAAATACTGACTGTAGGTATGATTGTGTGTGTAAATACTGACTGTAGGTATGGTTGTGTGTATAAATACTGATCGTAGGTATGGTTGTGTGTGTAAATACTGATCGTAGGTATGATTGTGTGTGTAAATACTGACTGTAGGTATGGTTGTGTGTATAAATACTGACTGTATAGGTATGGTCGTGTGTGTAAATACTGACTGTAGGTATGGTTGTGTGTGTAAATACTGAATGTAGGTATGGTTGTGTGTGTAAATACTGACTGTAGGTATGGTTGTGTGTGTAAATACTGACTGTAGGTATGATTGTGTGTGTAAATACTGACTGTAGGTATGGTTGTGTGTGTAAATACTGACTGTAGGTATGGTCGTGTGTGTAAATACTGACAGTAGGTATGGTTGTGTGTGTAAATACAGTTGCAACATGTTTGGTCAATTGAGTAAATGCACTGCCCATAGATGCAGGTAGGTGTGTAAAGAATGGCTGTATGCAGGTCTACAGTCAGGCATGAAGATGAAGTCATCACTGCGGCAATAACTCGAGATATCTCGTCTTTGTTTTGATCTTTTGTAAGTGGTTCGCGCTTGCGCACCGCCACACATCTATCTACACATATATGCTTTTGCAATGTCTCATGCAAAATCACTTGCTCTACAGGTGGCGCCAGTATCTATGGGTTAAATATTGCCAAGCCGTCAGACATGGACGTTATCCGGGGGATGACGGGTGTGTGTCCACAGCACAACATTCTATTTGACGTTCTCACCCCTCGTGAACACTTGGAAGTGTTTGCTAGTCTGAAGGGGGTAGTGCCTGATCGACTCAATGCCGAGGTGGGTTATGCGATTATGAGCCTACAGGGGGGAGCTACCTGTCAATTTACATGAACCATATTAATGCTGCGTTACATGTATGTAGTTACTAGACAATTTTGCCTAACACAGTCCTTAATTCGATGTCGAGCATGGAAGAGCGGATATACAACCATGCCTGCTCCCTTATAGGTGATAGCTTGGGAAATGAAATTTCCTTTCAATTATATTTGAGGTTAAGATCGAGTCTTGAACTGAAACGGTGAGTGTGATATATATAGTAAGGGTGTTTATTTGCTGCCGATTTATGTAAAGTTCTAACACTTAACTGTAGATTAGGACTTTGCTTGTGGAGGTTGGTCTGATGGAGAAAGCTGATACACCAGCTAGTAAGCTGAGTGGAGGTCAGAAACGCAAGCTCTCTCTCTGTATTGCTGTCATCGGCGATCCAAAGGTAACAGATACCACTGCACTATATGTTTGACTGTTACATTATTCGAAGAACTTCTTCACTTTTATTTTTGCACTTCTAATAATTTTGGTCTCTAATCTCTAATATGAGATGAATTAGCAAAGATGTCTTACTAATTGGTTAAATGAATAAATTAAGGGAAAAAACAGTGCAGTAAAGAAACAGCTCACTGGTGATAATAAGATATCTTGTATCTGCCTCTGATATTGATATTAAGCTATAGAACATTTCACATCTGTTAATGTATGTATTGACAAGATAGAAGCTCGATTCTATTTGCAAAATGAATTTTTTTTTGACATCCACTCTGAATAGTAATGATAATAATAATAACAGTAATGATAATGATGATAAAAATAATAATAACAACAACAACAACAACAACAACAACAATAATAATATAGGAATAATGCCAATAAGAGAGTGACCGGAAAATTTTTACACACACACACACACACACTCACGCAGACACGCACACACCTACGGAGCCTATCTCTTGTGTGCAGGTCGTGTTTCTTGACGAGCCGACGGCGAGCATGGACCCGTACTCGCGCCGGCAGGTGTGGAGTCTGCTGCGCAGGCTGCGGCCGGGCCGCATCATCCTGCTGACCACGCACATGATGGACGAGGCCGACATCCTCGCTGACCGCAAGGCGATCATGTCCAGCGGCCGCCTGCGCTGTGTCGGCTCGTCCTTCTTCCTTAAGAATCGGTTCGGCATCGGCTACCACCTGACGTGAGTGATAACTACACAGATACATGCTGTGCTGATGAGTAAAATTGCTCTGAATGCTGGTAGAGATAGATGATAGAGTGGAAGAGATTGTGAGAACTACAATGATACTGTGC